TCTGGACAAAGAGACATGCTAGATAAAGAAACAGACACGGTTCAGCAGTCCCAGGAATCATTGCTAGCTGCGCCAAATAGTGGCAGACCCTGCCAGGAGCATGTTCTATCAGCTCTCCGGCACAGACAGAGAGGGACTGCGGAGGAACCCCAGCGGCCGAGAGCTTGATTCCTGTGTTCAAGAAATATTTGTAGCACCGGCGGTTCCTGATGCTGAGTCGCATGCGGCTCCTGCGGCTTGCTGGTGATGTTACTGTTGTTGCTGATGCGGTGCAATTTGCACTGGAGCTACTGGTGTCGGTGTAGTCGTATCTGCACCCGGGTCCCTGCTGCGAAGCCGTGTCTCTCTGTGTCAAGTTGCAAAACATTGCAACTGCATTCCAAGTGTCTCTACAGGCCCAAGAGCAGCGCGCAACCGACAGCCACAAACAGTGAAATCAGCACGCAAAGCAGAACCCCCTCAACGATGCGCGCAACCCAAGCACTGCACCCAGAATCTCTAACTACGAAGCGCGCAGGACCCTTTTCAAGGTCCTCAACGACCCATCGTCAAGCGAAGTGGCAAAGCTTCCCGGCATCATGCCAGTTTATGGGTAAAGTCAGGGCTGCATCAACGATTACATCATCGACTGCAGCCAGACGACAAGTTGAAGCTAAATGGTATCCATCTGCGTGCTGATAAGACGAGACGCCCGATAGACTATATCGTCGTTACGAGCTATGGATCCTCCTTCCGTGTGGGCCCTACGGCCAAGCAAGGCTTAGTTCCCAACAGCCCAGTCAAAGTCGCAGTTGGGGCATCTGAGCTTCACGATCAACTCCTTCTAGCTACTGCTTTCGGTGATAGCTTCGGGCGAAGCATGAAAAAGATGGGGTTTCCGGCTAGGCTTTCATGACGAATATCTGGATCTCGGATCTTGATAGAGCTATGGGTACAAGGATCCGATGGTACAGAGACCCTAGGCATTGTCGAGAGTTCTTCGGCGTCAGTACCCTTTAACTAGCCGGTACATGGCGGAAAACGACTGCTTGCAAGTTAAAACATTGCTGCAGATACTGCAACGAACCTTGTGTGAAGTTGTCGGTTGCCCTGGTTTTTCACCATCGGCCATTGGCTGGATTCCAGACTTTTCCTGCGCACATTCGTTCCGTGCGACCCTTGCGTCCCCTACCTCAAGCCCTAAACTCTAAACCCTTCGATACGTACATTGTATGTTGTATATACATGCCATGTGTATATATATATATATAGATGTATACATATACATACACATGTGTGTATGTGTATATACTGTGTGTATGTATATATATATATGTACACACATGCACATCGAACCCTTATAGTAAGAATTACAGTACCCGACAATAGGCCCCAAGATCCCGAAACCGTACTCGCTCTACCAACTGTTCGAAGGTGGGCCTCCTATTTCATCACCGCGGTGATTTTAGTGACGACGGCCGAATCCCTGGGACATAATCTAGTATGAGAGGGGCCCTTTTTTGCTTTAGTCAAGCGGAGAGTGCTATAAAGGCCTCTTCTAGAGGCACTACAGTGAGAGGCACCTTTTTGTTAATGGACTCGGGGTTTTGGTGTTTTTTCATGCCATAATTCCCAATAAGGAGCCCTAGGAATGGTTTTTTTCCTGGGTGTGCAGGATCTGGGACAGCTCCCGGCACGGGTTTAGGGTTCAGGGGTCGGGGTTTTGGAGTTTTCCGTGCACCTTTTGATACCTTGAGGTTTGCCGAGGATGATTGGGGTTTGGGTTTAGGGCGGTCATTTGAAGTCAGGGTTGAGGCCAAGGTTCAGGGCCGCGGCACCTCAGCTGGGATCCTTAGAGTTGTTTCAGGAGCTCCCATGCGTAAATACATCATGAGCTGTAGGTGCAGAGTCACTGTGCATCTCCCAGAAGAAGTCATAGCTTCGGATCTACATGGTGTTGACTGGACAGACTTCGCTCAAGGCATTATGGAAGAATAGCCGAAAATTGATAGACGCCGCAGTCAGATTGAGTCAGTTTCTCCGATACGATACTCATACTTGCGTAGTGTGGTTGTAAAGGGATTCTATGTAGACTGTGGCAGCTGGGCAGAGCAGCGAAGCAACCACGAATTTGCCTCAAGCATTTCGGATGCAGGGTTCTGGACTCCGGGATGCCGAGGTCAGCATGCTCTTGGAGTCTATGCCGGAACTCAGTCACGTACCTGACGCATGCGACTTCGCCTGCACCATCTTTGTGGATGGCCGCGCATGAGATGGGGGAGGGAGATAATGACCTTCAGCCCTTGAGCGGGGATGACATGTTGATCCCAGGCAGCAATACTTCGGATAGCCTCTTGTTGACGTTAGTAAGAGGGTTATTCAGCCAGGGACCATGTTCCTGAAACCCGCCACCCGAAGCCTGGAAAGACAAGTGCTAATTCCAACGCCTTATTAAAGTCTTCACCCCCAGGTCCAGAACGAAATCCGTAGCCTTGCCTGCAAAGCCCAACACGTAAGATCTAAGTTAGCCCGGCACGAGTTTCGACCACTGCCTGTTACCTATAGTCTCCATTGCAGTTCCTTTTTTGGGGTTACCATTTAGGATCCTTAATATAGAATTGGTTAAACCAAAAAAAGGAACTACAATGGAGACTATAGGTACTCTCTACACACCCTGACTCCTAAACCCGAAACCCTTTCCAGAGACCCGAGGCGACAGCCTCGTGACTGTCGAAAACTGCCGGCCGCAGCCGTCGCAAGCGACCCTTGGCTAGGGTTTAGGGTTGGAATAATTTGCTTATATAAGTAATTACAGTTGGTTATAAGTAGGTGAAATGTAAACCGAACCCCCAAGTAGAGAGTCCGTTGCAGAGTTTGGGTTCAATAGGTTTCATCGCTTGGGGCTTCATGCTTACGTCTAGGAAGGGCGGTGAGGTGCTGTGGCGATGCGAATCTGACAGATTTGCTACGGTTTCGACGGGTATTGAGTCGCTGCTTGCGCTGCCGCCACCGCTATTGTTGTTATTGGCTCGCGGCTAAAGCCGGTATCATTGTTGCTGCAGTTTCTGCACCTGCTGCTGGTGGTTCTTGCGCAGCTGACTCGTAGCGCAGCAGTCCTGCTGCGGTCATGTTGAAAGTACCCGTCAACAAAAAGAGCTCGACCCCAAACCCCTAAACCCTAAAGCCTAATTGATGGCTTGGGGGGGCTATAAGGCAGCAGAGTCTGGAAGTCTGCCGGAGTTCATGCGTTCATGCGAATCCTGAACTCAAGTGGTTTCAAACATCGACGTATCGGGAAGGTTTGAACTTAAGGAGTTTGCATGGTTTCGGCGTCAGGGTCAACGATGTGTTAACGATTTTAATCAGTTTCTGTTGTGTTTGCACGCATGTGCCTTGCCAGCCGTGATTCTTTTGATCGCATGGTGCAGTGCCTGACTTCAGCGGCTGAGTTCTCCATGCTCAGGTTTTTCCAGATAGAGTTGGCGGCCTGTCTGCACTTAAGTTCTTGACACCCAGGGAGGTCTACCAAGCACATGCTGCATACACTTGGCGCTTGAGAGATAGAGAAGAGCCGGAGCCGGGGGTGTCATAATGTAGACCTCAAAGTCATATAGGGTAGTTAGAATGGGGTTTTGGGGTCCTTTATAGTAGACCTATAGTAAGGAACCCCCCAAAATAATATAGGTAATCATTGAGGCCCCTAAATTAAAAGACCCCCCACTACCGGATGCAATCCACAGCCAGTAGCAACCAGCCGTTCTATTTCCTGCCATTGGTGATGATGCTTCTTCCTGGTGGATGTACGGATAGTAGCAGTAAAAATCAGTCGTCATCAGTCGTCACAGGCGGTGCTTTTGGAAGGGCCTTTCCCCCTTGAAGCCCAGAGCCGTTTGTTTGAAAATACTGTTTGGAAGGGCCGCACTGCTGTCACCTGCAGTGGCTTAGCGATGATAGTAATGAGTAAGCATAGGCAATAGAAGTCAAAAGACCAGCAAAAGTGAGGGCGGCAGTGACACTGATGCTGCTCATGATGTTGATGATGGTGATGATGATGGTGATGCTGGTGAAGATGAAGAAGAAGATGATGATGATGTTGTTGAAGAAGAAGATGATGATGATAAGAGCTGCTAGTGCTGTTGATGGAGGAGAAATCAGAAAAGAAGGTGCGCATGTTGGAGAGTTCCGAGTCTCGAGGGCCAGGGCTGTGAGTGTAGGCCCGTTCAGGTTTGTGCTGGAGGCCTCTCGAAGCCCAGAGTCCCGAAATGAAGACCAGGGATGAAGGAGTGGCCAGCTCATACAACAAGAAATTAAGTGGACAAGCTCATGACCATGAGACACTGGAACTGCCTCTGGGTATCACAGGGTTGCTTGAGGTTTGCATTATTATCTTCACCGTGGACTACGTCCTTCGCATCTGCACTGCTCATGCGATGACTGCACGTGAGCTTGGCGTGCCATGGCATGACATTTTCAGGCAGGTTGTTTTGGAACCAGTAGGTCCTGCCGCGGAAAGACGGTGATCAGAGGCTGCACAACAACAACGGCAGTGGTGATAAAGACAGCAAAATGAACTACAACCGCCGCCGCATGCCGCCGCCACAACCACCACCACCAC